AGGAAGTCCTAAAGATATGTGAGCACATGTGAGAGAAAAAACAGCAAAAACACTTAACTTAGCATGGCTGTTCAAGCCTAGCCAAATCTGGTTGCCAAATTTGTTCATGTTCAGGACTTCTCTCAGGAAAAAGCAGCATGTAGTTGTGCAGGTGCGGGTGAGGGGTATTCTACTTTTCATGTAGTATCCCATAAGTCAGTTATATGGAGGTTACATTACATTTAACTTCAGTGAGTTCCAGTGAAGTTAATTATCCTTATAAATCCAGTGGGCTGCTTGGACAATACAGAGATAAGCTTCCATTTTTCATGTAGTATGGGGCTCCCCTCATCTCTCCTGTGTCTTAGATAGAGGAGGAAATGGAATGGGACTCTGACATCAAGGCATGCTCCCTGTGCAAACTACGTAGTTAAAAGGGCAACACATCCTTTAACCTATCTTTAAGGTAAAACCCAGGGCCATTCCTAGTAGAATTGTCCTTCTGGGTAGTTTTAAGATTACTCTCATTTGGATAATGATTTATCCATGATTCGTTTAACAAGTTGAAACTGTCACGTTTAACCACAACTATGATATACATCTGTGTCCATTTCCAGGTCTGAATAAGATGTGATAAGTGTTGACTATACCTATCTGTTTTTTAAAGAAACTGGAATCTTGAATGAAATGTGTCATTTAGTTTTCCAATACCTCAGAACATCATCTAATTCTATAAAAAATATTATCTAAATTAAAATGGAAACTTTGAATTAAGGTTTTAAGATGAAAGTTTTTATAAAAAAGGGGTAGAGCTGCGCAGACAAGATAAATGATAAGACAATGCATTTCAATATTTTTTCACTATTTTCCCTTCAAAGATTCAGCATGGAGTTTCACATTCCTTAAAATAAACATAAATTTAAATATAGCAATTGTTTAGGTTACATGTAAAAAAAAATCTTCTAATTTCCAGTTCTACAAACCCAGCCAGAACCAGACAGTCTGTTTACATATTTAATTTTTCATACATCTGCAGGCTAAGGTGGGTCCTCAGTTTCAGCTGTGTAAAATCACTACCTTCAAGCCAAACCCGGAGCGTACAAAAGAGAAGAGAATCCATCATATATTCCTAGTACTGCTAAACCAAAATACTTAACTTTAGAAAAAAATATTTTAACTAAAGCAGGCACATTTGTGAGCTGAACTCAAATAAGGAGCAGCTCTGCTGAATGAGAAGAAGTTTTATAAAACCTCTCACACATTTCAGAGTCCAATTTAAATAATTTGTTTGATTAGTATAAGCTCAGACAATCCTAAGAGAACCATGCATCACATTAGAAAGGAAAACTAAAAAACAAAGAAACAAGTAAACAAACAAACAAACAAACAAGAACCCCCACAACCCTTGCCAATATGACTTGGGTAAAAAATTATTTCCTGACCCCAAATTTGACTATCAGTCTGCCCTAAAGTGTACAAGACCCTTCAAAAAGACAGCTGAGATGTACTAAGAACTAGCAGGAGCATCAGCAAAGCCTGGGCAAACTCCCATCTGAAGCTGTGGAGTATGGCCAATGCTTTAGAGGAAGGCAAAAACAAAAAAAAAACAACCCCAAAACCCACCAGAAGCCAAACAGAGCATTCATGAGAAAAATAAATATCTGTGGTTCCTATAGGTGAACAATGGAAGCCCTGAAGTATGGATCACCAGACACTTCCAAAATGGAGAAAGTGTTTCCTTTCAAATTCATCATGGAGATAACAAACACCTGAATCCACCTATCACACTGAACAAATTATTGCTCCAGGAACCCTGTGGTGTCACCATATCCATGCCATACGCTGGACAAGCTTGATCTTGAAGCAACCTCTGCCCTCATTACTTTGTTTGGAAATCTGTTCCTAAACTTCACCCGATCAGGGTTAGAAAAATTTTAATTTCTAAATTAAATTTGTTCTCAGTCAGTTTATAGACATTTAATCTTGTGATAGCATTGTCCTTAAACTTAGAAGAGCCACATGCCAGAATTCACTGGCCACATTCTTACTTTAGATTGGACTTTTAAAAATTAGAACTTCCAGGCAATGATTACATTACACTTCAACCCCTTGAGATAGAGTGCTGGCATTTGGGTTTTAAACCTCCTACTGGGGGTGTGTGAAATGGGCCATATTTGATTCAGCCCGAATTGGGGATAGTGATTCGATTTGTTGATTCAGATCGCTGTTCCTGATTTGATTCAGCTGAATCCGAATCTGAAGATTCAATGCTTATTCGGAGAATCAGTGATTCGGGCACAGAGACAGCTTTAAATGTTTTTTCTACGTACCTTGAGGTACCAGGTGCAGCTTGTGAACACTATGATGCTGGGACACATGAAACATCACACAGGAGCACTGGGGGGCCCCCACTTGCTCAGCCACAAACCCAGAAGTGTCCGCCAGGGAGCACACTTCCGGGTCCGCCGGGGAGTGCAGAGGGAGGGGAGGGGTGCGTATCCCCAGCTCAGTGATCAGCTGTAGAGGGACCCCAGGTGCCCCCCCAGACCAAGGAGGCACCAGTCGCCAAGCCGGGAAGGCACAGGGGGATCCCCCTGCACGCTCCCCAGTGGACCTGGAAGTGCTTCTGGTCCACTTCTGGGTCTGCTGCCGATCACACTAGGGAGCCCCCTGAGCTCCTGTGGGATGCTCCATCCTCCCCACCATCATAGCATTCATGAGCTGCCTGCTACCTTGAGGTATGTAGAAAAAACATTTAAAGCTGCATCTATGTCCGAATCTCTGAAACTTTCCAAATTGCTCTGAATCGATTCGGAGGGTTCCGATTTGATTCAGAGATATTAAAGGGTTTCCTGATTCAATTCCGATTTGGCCAACAAATTGGATCGAATCTCCACTGAACTGAATCAGGGACCGAAGCTTTGCATAGCCCTACCTCCTACCTTATAAACTTGTCCAGGGCATACAATGTTATTGATTTAGGAACACATTCTGATATTGTTCACATACAGGATAGTAATCTGACCTAATAATCAAGATATTTTAGTGAACTATTCACAAGTTTCACTATGCACCAGAGGCATCAGCTCAGCTATTTCAACAGATATCTAGAGAAATGGGCACACCTAGAGCAAAAAACCCACTACAGTTAAAGTTATAATTATTTTATAGATTTCATAGACATTAGGGCTGGAAGAGACCTAATAAGATCACTGGGTCAAGGCCCCTGCCCAAGGGACAGGAAGTCAGCTGGGGTCCCAGCAAGAAAAGCATCCAAATGTTTCTTAAAAGTGTCCAGAGTAGGCGCTTACACCATGTTTGTGGGGGGTCTGTTCCAGGCCTTGGGGGCTCAGACAGTAAAGGAGTTTTTCCTTATGTCCAGCCTAAAATGGTCTTGCAGGAGTTTGAGACTGCTGGACCTTGTGGTGCTCTGAACAGGCGTTCCCTCAGATCCTGATGCACACCCCTTATGTACTTATAGGCTGCCACCAAGTCGTCCCTGAGCCTGTGCTTTTCAGGAAGCATCCCATAGCTCGTAGCCTCTCTTTGTAAGGCCTGTTCTCTTGCCCTCTGATCATGCACGTGGCTCTCCTCTGGACTCTTTCAAGAACTGGATGTTCTTGATGTTCTCCAGCTGCAGCCTCACTAAGGCCGAGTACAACAGGAGGATGATCTCCTGGGTCTTGCTCGAGATGCATTGGTAGATTCAAGCCAGAGTTTTGTTTGCTTTGCCAGCCATGGTATCACATTGGTGGCTCATGTTCATCTTGTGGTCAGTCATGACCCCAAGTCTCTTTCAGTCAAGGTGCTAGTGAGCGTAGCACTGCTGAGCCTATGCCAAGCCTATAAGTATGATGCGGGTTTCTTTTCCCAAGGTGGAGCACCTTGCACTTCACTGTATTGAATTCCATCAAGTTTTCATCTGCCCACCTTGCAAGCTTATAGAGGTCATCCTGGATCACCAGTCTATCCTCAAGTGTGGACACTCTTCTCCAAAGTTTGGTGTCATCAGCGAACTTAGCCAGTCCGCTTCTGACACCAGTGTCCAGATTGTTTATGAAGACATTAAAGAGTACAGGTCCATTAAAGAGTACAGGTATAGACTCCTATTTTCACATGTTTAAATCTCTCAAAACTCTAATTTTCGATTCCTCTCTCTACATTTACACCTGATCTTCATACAAAAAGTACTTATTGTTGGAACATAAGCAAACTTATATTATGGGCATACATGAAGGACAATGGTGACTGCTAAAATCTGAAGTAGAACACTTAAACTAAGAATTTGCACATCTTAATTCATATATGCACACAAACATATAGCATTTAACTAATGTTCACTGAGAGTATTTGTGAGCTGAAAGTAGGGATGTATCAATGTATATACACCTTTTTTTACATGCACTTTTGAATATTTGGCCGTAGACTTGATATGATGCAAACCACAGCTTAAACAGAAATTATGATTTTGAATATGGTTGTAAAAATCAGAACAGCTACACTAGAAGTTACTCCAGATTTATGGTACAAGAATACACAGGAGAATCTGACACTTCTCCCAATATTGTGAAGTGCTGATTATATTTGTGTGCTGATTATATTACATACTGATCGTGTGCTGATTATATTATTCAAATGCTGATTACATTTAGTTTTAGTCTAGCTAAAAACATAAATTCTGAGAATTGCTGCTTTCAAGACACCTCTACAAACAGACAGAGACATGCAAATGACCAGATGAAATTTTTAATGAAAGGTTATACAGATTTTACCTTGTTTGAAGTAGCCTTTTCAGGTTTTTTTAATCCAGAGTCACTTTCAGAGTCAGATTCTGATTCAGAACCTGAAGAACTTTCCTCTGTTGAACTAGATCCTGATTCAGAGGACCTGGAGGTTCTCTTTCCTTTGGAGATCATCTTTGTTTTCTTTTCAGTGTCATCTGAGTCACTGTGTTTAAAAAGAATGTGCTATTTTTAAAAGTGAAAAAACACTGAAAATTATCTGATGCAAGAAAAAGAAGCCAAGACAGATGGGTCAGCTCTCAGAAAAAGTCCTAAACTTTGTCCTTCCAATACTTTATTAAAAGTATGTTGGAGTAACCGATTTCTCATGACAATTGAAACCTAGCCAAGATGGCATAAATAGCTAATGTATCAATAAAATCATATAGACAATGTTGTAACTACCTAAATAATTTACCTTATGTCACAAAACCCATCAATTGTATATAAGCAAAAATACTTCAAACAAAACAATGAAACAGAAGAGGTCATAAAAATAATAAAACAATGGTAATCAATAATGCAAGAGGGAATAATGCTTGGCAGCACTATGTTTGTAGCACTTTCTACAAAAATGGTGATTCTTTTAGACTGTGCAGCTTTCACACTATTTAACCTTTGGTTTAAGAAACCTTGATTCATCTCCATTTTTTGTGCAAAGTAACTTTCACTGAATTAGTTGTTCATTGATGCTTTTAAATTAAATTAACTAGAAAGAGAAATATTTATAAAGTAGTATTGGTCCAATATAGGAATGTTCTAACACACTGCAACTTAAAACAGTTCTATAAAATAAGGCAACATATTTAGAGGCAAAGATGTTGTGGGTGATACTTTTTACTGGATCAACACCATGACTGGAACAGACTCAGACAAGTTTTTGAAAGTGTATTTGAAAGTCTGTCTAAATCTATCCCAGCTGTGTAGTTGTAGATCTTGCCCACAGAAATTCTTGCCCCTCACATATTTCCTAAACCATCATGTCTAAATATCACTCCAGCACTACCAAGGCAACATCTTGACATCCTAGCTCAGGGCTGTCCAACCGGCAGCCTTCAGGCCACATGCAGCCCCTAAAGGGTTAGCATACAGCCCGCAGGCTTATATCTGGCCGCCTCTCCTCTTCCCCAGTTGCTTCTGTCCCAGCAGCTAGGAGAGGGCTGGAATGCTTGAACCATGCATGGTAAAGGAAGCCAGACTGCCCATGCTGCAGATGAGTGGTGTATGCAACGAGGGGAGAAAGAAAGCAGGGTGAGGGGACAGTTGTTGCGCCCATGGCAGGGACAGCAGGGGGTTGCCCATGTGACATGTGTGTCTGCAAGAGGGGAAAGCTGGGTTACTTTAAGGGTGCATGGACAGGGGAGGGTGCTGGGCAGCCCACACTATGAGGGGACACCCAGCTGCCCACATGGCATGCAGTCCCCGCAGGTCCTGGTCTGCTGGGCATATGGCCCCAGTATGCCTAGAAGCTGAGTAGCCCTGTGGTAGCTTATGCCAAAAAGAACTTATGCCAAAAAGAGCTTATGCCTTAAAGAAACCCCTATGGATTTCTGGGAGTTCTCTCACACAGTAAAGTGCTACTCATCTTGACAAAATAGGACTCATATTGCTATTGTCCATAACCAGTGAAAATTATAAGTGGGTTTTTGGGGGTTTTTTTGCTCTCCATAATGATATTATTTTAAATATTTTGTCCACGTGCATCTCAGACAAGGGCTAATACTCAGGGATCCAGGTTTTCCATTCACCACAGAAAAATGTGGTAAAAACCCAGATTTTCTCATTTTAAGGAGAAAAACCCAGGGAGCAGTGCGTTTCCCCTTGCAGGCCAACAGAGTTCCAGCCTACAAGAAGCTGGCAGGAGTGGGAGAAGGGCAATCAGGCAGGGGATGCCATGTGCATGTGATCATTTATACATGCACATGACTGTCCGGCACCCCGGAGATCAGCTCTCTGAAGGTAAGTGTGGCAGGGGAGGGGAGGGGGGGGAAGAGGACTGCGGCCTCCATAGCAAGGGAGGGAAGGGGTTAGGCAGGGCTGGGGCTGGAAGTGATGCCCAGCTGGGGCCTGGGGCCAAAATGCATAGCTACAGGGCCTGGGCGGAGAGCGGGACAGGACTACAGGAGGCTCGTCCAGGGGGTGGGAAAGGGGCTGGCTCCCCACCCCTGCACGCATTCCCAGAGGCAGATGGGAGACGCATGCCCCCCAAATTTGAGCACGGGGCGGGGGTGGGCTTCCTGCTGCATGTTTGGGGCTCCCCACCCTGCTGCCCCCCCCAGGGCCTCCATAGTGGTGGCACTGAGCTTCTCTGCCCAGCTCTGCTCTCACCTGCTGGGTCACAGAGACCTCACGGGGAGGGCAGCAGGATGGGGGGGGCCCAAGCCCACAGCAGACAGCCCACATCTGACCCCCCAACCCCACAGGCTCTTCTTTGGCTGTCCCGCCCATGGGGTAGAGGATGGAGGGGGGGCAGGCTCCACGCTCTGCTCCACTGTAGCAGCCACTGCCTCCCACATGTGGCAGCCAGGGCTCAAGTGCTGCTGTGGGGGACAGAGGGCTGTGGACCTAGGTCCCTAGCCCCATAGCTGGGGGCCCCTCCAGCAGGGCTGGGGGGTAGGGAGCTGTGGGTGAGGAGTAAGGGGCACCAGCAGGGCTCAGGAGGCTGTGGCTTGGGAGTGAGGGGCAATGGCATGGGCAGAGAGAGCACTAGCATATGAAGGCTGTTCAGTGCCAAAAAGCACTAGGGGGAGACAGCTGCAGCTGGACCCACACCCTGGTGAGCGAAGGGGGCAGGGGGAGCTCTGATTTTCCATGATAAAAAACCCCAAATCAAATGCCAAAATGTATAGGTATTTAGAATTAATTTTACTATAGTGATTGAGACACTGGTAGGCTTCTTAACTGTTTTAAAATTGTAAATATCTCAATAAAACATTGTGTTCAACTGATACCTATATATAGTGTCATTTCATTTTTATCATGGAAAAACACAGATTTTAGGTTTTTTAAATGAAATAATTTGCTTTTTTTTTTTTTTTTTTTTTTAAATCAGAGGAAACCAGGATCCCTGCTAATAATTAACTTGCCAAAAGAAAGAAAACAATATTCCCCCCAACACCCATTAAAATGCAAGCAGTAAAGTTTCTACTACCACACACAGGACGTGGCCCTGTAGACCAGTAGTTTATACTTTGAAAAAAGGCATTTCATGCTATGGATACTATTCCTCAAACAAGCCTCCCTCTTACAAGGAATGTACTTTGAGGTATTAAAGTGAACAGATAAGGTCTATAAATAATAAAACAAAATCTGATTGCTTTAGTGTTATGGAACTACAGGGTCCTTTGGATCCATTTCTGTATTCTAAAAACTTGAGAG